AAGGAGCTTGTAGGGAAGGGGGAAATCTACAGAAAGGCCAAGCAAATGATACAGAAACCAAACCAGTGTCACAATACATCCTGAAGATACCAAGATCTCTTCATCTCAGTTCACAGAGCAATCAGGAAAAAATTGAATTTAATAGGTGAATCAAATTCTTAAGGCACAAAGGAAACTTGCTTTTTAAGGCAGTCTGTGATGGGTCTCTTTTTAAAACAAAGACCCTTTAGCAATCTCTCAAATTTATGTTTCTTAGACTTGGGGGTTTTGTACATCGATTTTTCTCAAAATAGGAAGTGCTTCAACCCCGTTTTCTACTTACGTGTCCATTTTAACTAGTCATTTCCAGTTTTGACATAGCTATGACTTTGTAGGGGATTTTAAGAATAAATAGGGACTGGAAATGCAAAGTGGGTGTTACTGTCTGAGACACAGAGAGGCTACAACATAACTACTAAAATTACCTCTGCCTCCTACACCCCAGCCTCTGAGGTGGAACTCCTAAGAACTCAATGAGGTCACATATTTGATCCAAGGCCTTCTGTCTGAAGCCCTGGTTACTTATGGTCCACCCCCCTTCACTTTTGCTTTATCCAAATAGAGAATTTAAAGTCATTTATTCAAATGGCTTTGAGGAATATAAGGGAACCTTGCCACCTGGTGGAAGCTCAAGGTATGTGTAAGGATTGCCTTCCATTATGCTACTCAGGCCTTCCAAGGCACCTCTCAAACTGCTGAGCTAGCCTCTCCTCAAGGGTCCTTGTCTTAAAAAACTCCTTACGGGAGGGAAAATGGCGGAGGCTTAGACGGACGTGTTGGTGCTTTGTCCCGGAGCAGATAAGGGCGAGCAGCTGAAACGGGTAACAAACAACCCGAAAAAGCAGAGGAGATTCAGCTGAGAGACAGTCTGCAGCCAGGAAAGACAGAGAACTCCTAGAAAATGGGGATGGTTAGAGATTGAGGCTGAAACTTCCCCCTGGGCGCCAGCTCAGGGGCGAGACCGCGCCATCTTGAGTAGCTGTTATCCGCATCCAGAGCAGCGCGACTACATGAACTCAGAGGAGACCTGCTTCCCGCCACGGAAAGGTTAGACCTCCCCCAAAGGTGTGGTTTGCAATTCAGGTTGGAGTGAGGAACGCGCGCGCGTGTGCGGGGGGAGGAAATCTGCACCCCCCAAAATCCGCGCCCATAGAGGCCAGCATGACCCGCAAGTGGGGAGGGCTCCTACAGGGCTGCTGGCAGAAGGTAACACTATAAATAAACCCATAGTTGGACTGGATACAAAGAGGCAACCTCAGATGCTCCTAGGTGGCGAGCTACTTGGTGCCAGGGGCCAGAGCGCGCACAGAGACTCCGCGCAGTTCTGGAAGGTGGAGCCCTGCGAGTTCGCACAGCTTCCCAGGCTCTTGTTTACACACTTCCTCTTAAATCTGTGAGTTTGATTATTGATCCCAGTGCATGGGATTGCCCAGTTGGGGCCGCTAGCGGAGCTTGTAGGGGAAGATTGTTTTTGGGGAGCCTGGGAAACAGAGCTGGGAGTGGCGCCTGGGGAACCAGCTCTGGGCGGAGCTGGTTCAGGTACAATAGAGAACTCCTGGTCAGAGAGAACTTATAGCCTCGGAGGTCAATCCAGACACACTGCCACCCAGAGGCAGAGCCACGAACTGACTCTTCTGTAAATACAGATACGGCAGTAAGGGGAACCAATACGGCCTACCTTAAAATCAGGACTGTGGCTTACAACACGGAGGAACAGTGTATCAGAGGGAAATTCAACATTCTCCTGAATTCCGGGAGTGCCAAAAAGAAGAGTAGAAGATCTGAAGCACCTGCATTACTGCACATCTTTATTTTTATTTTTTTAAATTACTTTTTCACCTTTTAACTAAGAAAACATTTCTTTTCTTTTCTTTTTTTCCCCCCCATCACCTGATTATACCCTTTCAACTACTACATTTTTATTTTTAACTAGTATTATTACCGCTATCATTTTACCATTTTTTAAAGTGTCATTTTATTTTGTCTTTATTTTATTTTGGGACTAATGTTCTCCATTCTGTTTTCATCATTCCTTTAGCAACATTTTTCTCTACCTCAATTTGCCTCTGTGCTAAACCCTCTTCCCCACTTTTTCCCTTTTGTTGTCCTGTTTCTCTTACCCTACTCCAGCTTCAGATTTTCCTTTTCTTTTTACCCCCTGTCAAAATTTCACCCTACTTATATATCCTATGTCCAATCCCCTGCTCTAAATCCTTATACACCTTTCCCTTATCTTCCTTCACTATCCAAATTTTCTTCTTCTTCTTCTTCTTCTTCTTCTTCTTCTTCTTCTTCTTCTTCTTCTTCTTTTCTCTCTCTATTGTTTTATTGTTGTTTGCTTGATTGACGAGTATATTGGGGGTTTTTTTAGGATTGTTTGTGAGGGTAGTCTGCTTATTCTTTTTATTTTCCTGCCCCTCCCCCCCCCCGGTTATTTCTGTGCTTCTGTTTTCCCTTGCGTCGCTTGATATTATTGGTTGTTTGTAGTTTGTATTCATCTCCAGGAATCTGTTGCTATAATTTGTTGGTATTAGTGGTGGATCTATAGGAGTTTTCTCCTCATATAAATAGTCTCTTCCCCTTTTATACTTCATTCTCTTTTCTCTCTTACTTTTTTTTTCTTCCTCTTCTTTTTTCCCCTCCCTTTTTCCAATTTCATTTTTGCACTCCTTTTTTTTTTTTTACTTTTTTTCTTTCTCTCTTTTTTCTCTTCTACCTTTTTCTCTTCTTTCCTCCTTATCTCCTAACTCTCTTAGCTCGGGTGGCCACCTTTATTTGGGGTTAGTAATATCGTAAATACATTCGTGTTCAGTGCCTGGTACGTTGTACCGTGTTGTGTTGTATTTTGTGCCTTTAAATCAACGCAGCAGATTCAAGCAAAAGCGGCCTCCTGATCACCACACGCTCTGTCTGGGGAACAGTTGCTGTGTGTGAAGCCTCCCTCCACCAGCCAGAAGAGCCAACACAGCGGTGAACAGCACCCACCAGAGGCCCTGCTATCAACGGAGGAGCCGCTGCTACCACAACCACCCAAGGAGCAACCACAGCCCGAGGAGCCACTGCCACCCAGGGAGCAGCCACTGAATGACTCAACAACTAGATATGTCAGTGAGGTCAAACATGGGTAGACAAAGAAACCCCCAAAGGAAAGAGAAGGAGGACTCGCCAGAAAAGCAGCTAAGTGAGACAGAGATATGCAACATGATGGAAAAATAATTCAGAATAAGGGTCCTAGAGTACATGCACCGGATGTGTAAGAAGCAAGAAGAAACAGATGAAAAAATCAACAACTTAAGTAAGTCCCAAGAAGAAATGAAGAGCGACATAGCTGCAATAAAAAACACCATTGAAAGTATCAACAGTAGACTAGGAGAAGCGGAGGACCGAATTAGTGAATTAGAAGACAAGGAAGCAAAAAACACCCAAACTGTACTGCAATTGGAGAAAAAAATTAAAAGACAGGAGGAGAGCCTAAGGGAGCTTTGGGACAACATGAAACGAAACAACATACAAATAATAGGGGTGCCAGAACAACAGAAAGAGGAACAAGGGTTAGAAAACCTACTCGAAGAAATAATATCAGAAAACTTCCCTGAGGTGGGGAAGAAAAAAGTCACACAAGCACAGAGAGTCCCAAACAAGATGTACCTGAAAAGACCCCCACCAAGACACATCATAATTACCATGGCAAATGTTCAGGACAAAGAGAGAATCTTACAGGCTGCAAGAGAGAGACGGAAAGTTACATACAAGGGATCTCCCATTAGATTATCAAATGATTTCTCAACAGAAACACTTCAGGCCAGAAAATAATGGACAGAAATCTACAAAGTGATGCAAAGCAAAGGACTGAATCCAAGAATACGCTATCCAGCAAGGCTATCATTCAAAACTGAAGGGGAAATAAGAAGCTTCACAGACAAAAAAACGCTAGGGAGTTTATCACCACCAAGCCAGCCATGCAAGAAATGCTAAAGGGACTGGTGTAAAAAGAAGAAATAACAAGCTCAGAAAGAAAACAGCCACACACACAAAAAAGAAATGGCTGCAAACAAGTACCTTTCAATAAATTTAAATATAAACGGACTAAATGCTCCAACCAAAAGACATCGAGTGGCTGAATGGATAAAAAAACATGACCCATACATCTGCTGTCTACAAGAGATCCACCTCATTAGAAGGGACTCAACAGACTGAAAGTGAAGGGATGGAAAAATATATTTCACGCAAATGGAAAGGAAAAGAAAGCTGGGGTAGCAATACTTATATCGGACAAAATACATCTCAAAGTGAAGGCCATAACCAGAGATAAGGAAGGCCACTTCATAATACTAAAGGGATCAATACAACAAGAAGATATAACCCTGGTAAACATATATGCACCCAATGCAGGAGCATCCAAATTCATAAAAAAACTCCTGGAAGATATCAGGGGAGAGATCAACAACAATACAATCATAGTAGGGGACTTTAATACACCACTGACATCACTGGATAAGTCCGCTAGACAAACAATCAGCAAAGGAACAGCAATCCTAAATGACTCACTAGATCAGATGGACTTAATTGACATCTTCAGAACACTTCACCCCAAAGCTGCAGAATATACATTCCTCTCAGGTGCTCATGGGACATATTCAAAAATAGACCACATTTTGGGTCACAAGCAAAGTCTCCACAAATTCAAGAAGATTGAAATCATAAAAAGCTTCTTCTCCGACCACGATGGCATAATGTTAGAGATAAACGACAATAAAAACAACCCAAAATACTCAAACACTTGGAAGCTGAATAGCATGTTATTAAATATTGATTGGGTTACCGATGACATCAAAGAAGAAATTAAAAACATCCTGGACACTAATGATAATGAAAACACAACAATCCAAAACCTATGGGACACAATGAAAACAGTCCTGAGAAGGAAGGTTATAGCTCTGCAGGCCTATCTCAAAAAACAAGAAAAAATGGTAGTAAATCATCTAACTCTTCAACTCAAAGAATTGGAAAGAGAGCAACAAGAAAACCCCAGAGTGAGCAGAAGGAAGGAGATAATAAAGATTAGAGCAGAAATAAATGACATAGAGACCAAAAAAAACAATACAGAAAATCAATGAAACCAAGAGCTGGTTCTTTGAAAGGATAAACAAGATTGACAAACCTCTAGCCAGGCTCACCAAGAAGCAAAGAGAGAGGTCCCAAATAAACCAAATCAGAAATGATAGAGGTGAAATAACAACAGACCCCACAGAAATACAAATGATTGTTAAACAATACTACGGACAACTCTACTCCAACAAACTAGACAACCTGGAGGAAATGGACAAATTCCTAGAAAAATACAACATTCCAAAACTCAATCAGGAAGAATCTAAAAATCTCAATAGGCCAATAACTATGGAAGAAATTGAAGCAGTCATCAAAAAGCTCCCAGCAAACAAAAGCCCAGGACCAGATGGCTTCTCAGGGGAGTTTTACCAAACTTTCAAGGAAGAACTAAAATCTATCCTCCTCAGACTACTACAAAAAATTCAAGAGGAAGGAACACTTCCAAGCTCATTCTATGAAGCCAGCATCACCCTAATACCAAAACCAGGTAAAGACAACACAATGAAAGAGAATCACAGGCCAATATACCTCATGAACATAGATGCCAAAATCCTCAACAAAATCTTAGCAAATCGGATCCAACAGTACATCAGAAGGATCATACACCATGACCAAGTAGGATTTATCCCAGGAATGCAAGGATGGTACAACATCCGTAAATCAATAAACGTGATACATCACATAAACAAATTGAAAGAAAAAAACCACATGGTCATATCAACTGATGCAGAAAAAGCATTCGACAAAATCCAACACCCATTTTTGATAAAAACTCTCAGCAAGGTGGGAGTAGAAGGATCATACCTCAACATAATAAAAGCCATATATGACAGGCCCACAGCCAACATCATACTAAATGGACAAAAACTAACACCATTTCCCCTAAGAACAGGAACAAGACAGGGATGCCCACTCTCACCACTTCTGTTCAACATAGTCCTGGAAGTATTAGCCATTGCAATTAGACAAGAAGAAGAAATAAAAGGCATCCAAATTGGAAAAGAGGAAGTAAAACTGTCCTTATTTTCAGACGACATGATATTATACATACAAAACCCTAGAGACTCCATCAAAAAACTACTAGACTTAATACATGAATTTGGCAATGTAGCAGGATACAAAATTAACCCCAAGAAATCTGAGGCATTTCTATACACCAATAGTAAACTTGCAGAAAGAGAGATTATAAAAACAATCCCATTTACCATCGCACCAAAAAAATTAATATACTTAAGAATAAACTTAACAAAAGAGGTAAAAGATCTCTCCTCAGAAAACTACAGGACGTTGAAAAAAGAGATAGAGGAAGACATAAAGAGATGGAAGAACATACCATGTTCTTGGATTGGTAGAATCAACATCATCAAAATGTCCATACTACCCAAAGCAATCCATAAATTCAACGCACTTCCCATTAAAATACCAATGGCCTACTTCAAAGATCTAGAAGGAACTCTCCAAAAATTCATCTGGAATAAAAAAAGACCCTGAATAGCTGCGGCGATCCTGAGAAAGAACAAAGTAGGTGGGATCTCAATGCCAGATATCAAGCTGTATTACAAAGCCACTGTTCTCAAAACTGCCTGGTACTGGCACAAGAACAGACATATAGATCAGTGGAATAGAATAGAGAGTCCAGAAATTAGCCCAACCCAATATGCTCAATTAATATTTGACAAAGGAGGCAAGAACATACAATGGAGCCAAGATAGTCTCTTCAATAAATGGTGTTGGGAAAATTGGACAGATATATGCAAGAAAATGAAACTAGACCACCAACTTACACCATACACAAGAATAAACTCAAAATGGATAAAGGACTTAAATGTACGACAGGAAACCATAAAAATTCTAGAAGAATCCAAAGGCAACAAAATCTCAGACATATGCCAAAGCAATTTCTTCACTGATACAGCTTCTAGGGCAGTTGAAACTAAAGAGAAAATGAACAAATGGGACTACATCAAAATAAAAAGCTTCTGCACAGCAAAAGAAACCATCAACAAAACAATAAGAAAACCCACTGCGTGGGAAAACATATTTGCCAATGTCATATCTGATAAGGGCCTAATCTCCAAAATTTATAGGGAACTCATACAACTTAACAAAAAGAAGATAAACAATCCAATCAAAAATGGGCAAAGGATCTAAATAGACACCTTTCAAAAGAGGACATCCAGAAAGCCAAGAGACATATGAAAACATGCTCAAAGTCACTAATCATCCGAGAGATGCAAATCAAAACAACAATGAGGTACCATCTCACACCTGTCAGAATGGCTATCATCAACAAATCCACAAACGACAAGTGCTGGAGAGGATGTGGAGAAAAAGGAACACTTGTGCACTGCTGGTGGGAATGCAGACTGGTGCAGCCACTATGGAAGACAGTATGGAGTTTCCTCTAAAAGCTGGAAATGGAACTCTCATTTGACCCTGAGATCCCACTTCTAGGAATATATCCCAAGAAACCAAAAACACCAATCAGAAAGGATATGTGCACCCATATGTTCATAGCAGCACAATTCACCATAGCTAAGATCTGGAAACAGCCTAAGTGCCCATCAGTAGATGAATGGATTAGAAAACTGTGGTACATCTACACGATGGAATACTATGCTGCTATAAAAAAGAAGGAACTCTTACCATTTGCAACAGCATGGATGGAACTGGAGAGCATTATGCTAAGTGAAATAAGCCAGTCAATGAAGGAAAAATACCATATGATCTCACTCATTCATGGATAATAAAGACCATTACAAACTTTTGAACAATAATAGATACAGAGGCAGAGCTGCCTCAAACTGATTGTCAAACTGCAGTGGGAAGACCAGAGAGGGTTGGGGGGCAGAAGGGAGGGGAGTAAGAGATCAACCGAAGGACTTGTATGCATGCATGTAAGCATAACTAATGGACATAAGACACTGGGGGGTAAGGGAGGGCAGGGGATTGTCAAGGGCGGGTGGTGGGGGAAGGACACATATGTAATACCCTTTGTAATACTTATTATAATATTTTTTAAAAGAATATAAAAAAAAACTCCTTACTCTGCCCAGATCCATCCTAATAAAACTGAACGAGCAGCGTTTTCCTCTATTCTTCAAGTGAGGTGGTTTCATGGGGCAGAGTCCAATAACAATGGGCCAGAACTCTTCAGATCTTATTTAATTTTCAAAAAGATCCAATATTCAGTACTCATGCCCTTTAGGAAAGAATTAACAGTTGGCCATAAAATTGTCATTCTAAGGTATCCACTTCATAGTTGCCACCTGTATCTTGAGCATCATCTCTAAAGCAGAGAATGGGACACGTAGGCATCCCTATTTTTAAACAAATTATGCAATTGAAACGTTGCATGTGAATTGTATTTTTGAGTTTCTAACTATAATGGTGACCTGATAGATTGTTTCCTCAGGGTCTTAATTTATAAATTAGTTTTTGAAATTTAGCTTTCTCAACTTTAGAGACTCTATTCGTGATTTTCAACTGCCTGCTGGTGGATATGTGCCCAGTTAGCTGTAACAGAATCACCTGGGGAAATTACAACACCAACACAAAAGGATTCCTGGGCCCCTCTCCAAAGATTCTGATTCAGTAGGTCTGTGGCGAAGCCCAGGCATCAGCATTTCTTTTCTTTAAAAAAATTCTTTATTGTTGAAAGTTTTACATATTTCCCCCCCATTGACCTCTCCCCACACATTCCTGCCAGAGGCCCCCCCCCCCGCACACACACACACACACACACACACACACACACATATGTCCCCACCCCCGTATTGTCTGTGTCCATTGATTAGGCTCAGACATTGAAAGAGCATCTGGAGATACTCCAGTTGCATGAGGTAGATTCTCAATGAGTAGGAATGAGTGGTGTTCATCAGATTGATAATCTGTGCCGGTGCTGGGTCTGAGGCCACTCAGCAAATGTCCTAGGGTCTAGTTGCCACCTGTTAAGTGCTCACAAACCTTTGTGGTCAGGTAGGATTTCAGGGAGTCATCAGGGTGAGGTCAGCAGAGTTCTTTAGGCCCAAACAGACCAAAATTTGGCTCTGTGAAGGGCTCTGCGCTGCTCGGGCATGAGAGAGAAAAATGTCCCTTGTCCTAGAGCCACACAACTTAGTCTGTCCCAGATGCTACCTGGAGCCAGATCTCAGCAGAGTGGGGTCAACATTCAGGGCTCCATCAAATCTCAGGGAAGAAATGGTGGAAAACACAATTTAACTGATGAACCTATTCAGGTTAGTATAGATAGGGCGCTCAATCTCAAGGTTTCTATGATAGATGTAGATGGCCTTGCTATCAACCATGAAGGCACAATCAGAGCCCCAGGTGGTGTGGGTGGTGAGGATGGAGTTGTAGGGCTCAACTATAGCTGTGAAAACCTGTAGGGCTGGGTATATGGAGAACAATGCTTGGACTTCTTGTCATAATTGACAGAAAAATGTTCCACCAGCAGGGAGATGAACCCAGAACCAGTGCCTCCACCCAAGGTGTGGAAAACCAATAAGCCCCGAAGACCTGTGCACTGGTTAGTTTCTGAATTCGGTCCAAGACGAGGTTGATGGTTTCCTTGCCAATGGTGTAGCATCCATTGGCATAGGTATTGGCAGCATCTTCCTTGCCTGTGATGAGCTGCTCAGATTGGAAGAGCTGGCAATAAGTACCAGTGCAAACTTCATCAATGACTGTGGGTTCTAGGTCTACAAACACTGACCTGGGCACATGATTGCCAGCGCCTCTCACTGAAGAAGGTGTTGAAGAAGTCATCTCCCTCCCACTCCCCATTGTCATGTCGCTTGGCATCTGGTCATCTGGCTGGATGTCATGTTCCAGGTGGTAGAGCTCCCAGCAGGCATTGCCGATCTGGACACTAGCTTGGCCAACGTGGATGGAAATACACTCATGCAGGGTTGTTACTTTGCAGCTGTCTCGGTTGTGGGTTCGATCCCAGACCCTGGATGGGGCGCATGTGAGAGGCAACCAATCCAGGTGTCTCTCTCACATTGATGTTTCTCTCTCTCTCTGTCTCCTTCCCCCACACTCTCTTTAAAAAAATCAATGGAAAAATATCCTCAGGTGAGGATAATGTGTTTCCCTGGCTGCATGGCTTGGTTGGTTAGAGCCTCTTCTAAAAATAAATATTTTTGCATGAAGATTAAAACAAAAGTGCAGATCATCTAGCCAATTAAAAAGGCCCCAAAATAACTGGCTTGCTGGTCCATGTCAACCAATTGTGCATTCGTTACAGATACAAAAATTCTGTCATTTTCTTGAAGCTCATATATTCCACCTTGATAGATGGAATAGAGTCCATATTGTGAGTCTTTAGACCAACAACTATTCCTAGCACTTTTCATCAACAGTATAGGTTCAGGATAGTCTGTGACTTTGTAAATATATTGTACCATTTGTTTGTTTTTCTTTCTGATGCCTACTGTTGAATCATTCTCAGGTTCCAGAAATCGAAAGTATGTTTGGGAATAGATATAATAAAACCCCGTTTGATGGATAACTAACTCTCCATTCCTCAGGTGAAAATTACTCAACAATGAATGTCCTCTTCTTGATGACTCCCAGGAGGTTATTTTATGGCCCAAAATCTTTTCATCCTTGGCATCTGGAGGAAAGTTAGAGAGAAAGAAAGTTTACAAAAGGGAGTTTGTAGCAAAGCAAGGTGTTTCCAACAGCTGTCGCTAGCCTATTTTTGGTTGGTACTGCAAAGGATTTCAATCAAATATAAAACTTCTCACTCCTCTAATCTTACCAGGATTCTAAAGTCTAGTCAGTGCGAAACCTGAAGGCTTCTGTATTATTGTGGCCTGTTAGGAGTGCCTTATTTTTCTGTACCTTGTCTGCCACTCATGCCACATCTGCCACACTTAGCTCTGAGAAGTAGCACAGGGGATGATTCACTCAGAGGGCAATCTTTACTCCAGGGCAGAACTTCTGTCCCGAACCCCTACCTCTCTCCTGTGCTGGTGAGCTCAAATGAACAGTATACAGAGAAACTAAGAGAAACGTATCTACTTCCTTCAGCCTAGAGCTCTGAATTTCTTGCTATTCCTTTGGATCGCTTTGGATTCCCTCCTTGGTCTTGCAGTCAAAGGCATCATCCAAACTGAAGGCATCTCTAGTCTACAATTAGAGCACAGGTTTGGCAAAGAGATCCCAGATTTAAATAGCTCCAGATCCTCTAAGTCCTAGAGACTGAATGAAAAAAGGTCATGCAAAATATGATATTCCTTTAAACTTTGGGATCATCTTCATGAATGACATAAAATTGAGTTTTTCAAGAGTTTAAAATAATTGTCACATTGGTTGATGAGCAGTAAACAGTAATATGGGAATAATGATCTCACTCATATGCAAAACATGTTAATTATTTATAAAACGTAAGTCCAGGAATATGATAGGAAGGCAATTACCTAGAAAAAAAAACCAGAACAATCAAAAAACCCCTCAAAACACCCCAATAATGCTTTCACTCATTTACTGCCTGAAATTTCTTTACCTTGGGACAAAACCTTTCACAATAATGCAAGGGACTTCTTGAGTACTTACAGTACATCAGGCATTTTGCATGTGTTTCTCTTTTATGAGGTAAAGATTGTCTCTACTTTGCATAAAGTTTATCTCTATTTTGTATAAGCAACTGAAGCTTAGTTTGGTTAAGTAATTTGCTCAAACATATGTCTGGGTAAGGAGGGCTGGGATTCCAACATGGGTATTTAGACTATAATACCCTTGTACTTAACTACAGCACTCTGTGGGCATCTGCTCTGACAGTTAAAATTAGGTTTAACATATTTGGTTAAACTATGTGAAACCAACACTTTGTAAGTAAAAAATAGTCAAATATTGGCAACTTCCTGCAGTTCAACCAAATATAATGTCACAAGAATACTCAGTGACTCATGGTAAAAGCAAATGATGAATTTAGAACTTTGAAGAAAAAAAATTTGATCAAAGTGAGAAAGAGAGATGACTTTAAAGAAGAAAAAAGCAAAAATGGGGGCATGGGAAACTCAACGATAGCATTCTCCCACATTATCATTTCCCTGCGGCCAGTTATGCCAGGGCAGTCATTGAGCTATTCGTCTTATCATCTTGTTTCTGAAGAGTCAGTCTGAGATCTGATTCCTGCTGAGAATTTTGTAGATAGCTATATACACATTTTAGGTACAGGTTAAAAGAATAAATTATTTGGAACATAGTCTTCCATTGTCTTCCTTTAAAACCATATATTTGTTGTTTCTCTTACTTGGAACTGGGAATGCGGTCGTGCTTCGACTTTTCCCTGTTACGTGAGCGGCTACCCTCTGAAGTCCTTTTCCAATGACTAGCCGAGGACCATCTTGTTGCTTTTCTAAAAGAGAAACGACAACGTATCATCGGCACTTGTCCAACTACCTCTCACATTGCTGCTCACAGCTGTTGTCAATCAGGCCCTGTGAGCACGCTGCGCTTCCAAAGTTGATCCTATGGCTTTTCATAAAAACAGCCTACATTTTAGTGTGATGATCAGTGTACTTCAAGTTATGTTTAATTTGAAAAGTACTTTATATGGAAAGAATAAGCAGTAACTTGGGTTATAATTTATCAGCTTTTCAGAAGTCATTATGGTGAATATGACAAAGGGAAGATTATGGCCCTTTGCAAAAATTCCCAAACAAACAAAAAACAGTGGACCTGTAGTAATTGTGCTGAGTCATTTAAAGTGCACAAATAACCAGGTATTGGCAAATTTCCATTTTGAGTTATATATAGAATGATATCAATTTCATAACCTCTATTTTTTCCTATTTGCTAGCTACTAGTGATTCTTAAAGGAGTAGCAGTGGTAACCATGGTCCATAGATGCTATAAGCTGGTATCTAACAGTCATTCCCCTCCCCTCCCCTGACCTCCCTAAAGGAACATGGATTGACATACTGATCACAATAATCAGTATATGAGCATTTAAATCACTGATTCACTACATCTTAACAAACAACTTATTGACCACCATCCAAGTACTTAAAAATTACAGATTGAACAAACAACTCTTTTAAAAATCAGTTCAAACTTCCCAAGTATGTGTACATTAGTTTTTAAAACACAAGGCCCTGCACTATATCCTACAGAGGCAACAAAGATTAATCACTGATTACACTGACTGATCCTTAAGGGACTTAAACAGTCTTTGGGGGAAGATGCGAATTAGAAAGTACAAATTTATGTTAGAAAAAGAAATAAAGGGTGATGGCTATTCAGAGGGAAAGATTCCTACTTATTGGGAAGCTGAGGTCAGGGGAGGGTTTGTGCTAAGGCCCCTTCCATTCACTTAAACAAACCAAAGTGCCCACCATGTCTATGACAGGCACTCTTCCAGGGACAGGAAAAAAGAATTATAAACAAACAGGCCCAAGAAAGTGCAAGGATAATGATCTGAACAGGATGAAGATGGCCTGGCGTGGGGTCCAATAGAATGGGAAGAGGCTCAACGCAGGGTGTGCACAGCATTCCTGGGACAAAGGCATGAGAGGAATTCGGTTTCAGGTTTGAATGATGAGCCAGAGTATAGAGGATCTGAGTGCCAGCCTAAGAGATTTGGATTTTATAGGGTGTGGGAAGACTCTGAAAGGTTTTGATCAGGGAAGTGAAGAGACATGTTTTGTGTTTTAGGCTAATCTATCTCTCAGAGTAAGGTTGGATGGATAGAAGATGGGAGGGCTGGAGACTGGCAAGTTAATCAGACTATTATATCAGGACTGAGAACAGTAAACCTTAATCTAGGCCAGTAGAAGAGGAAAGTTAGACGAGGTGATAAAATTCCATAGGAAAAAATGAATGGGACATGAGAATCTCTTCTCATTTCTTCTAATTTTGTATTAATTGTTACTTATTCAGGATGGGTGGGCATCTATATGGCACTGAAGACCAATCATGGCATGGAGATGCATAGTCATTTATATATTATTCTCAGGATGCTCAGCTTTCAAGGTTGATGTGTCCATTTACTTATAACCTCCCTTGTTAAATAATTCATAATGCTCTGCCTGCCCTAGACCTTTCCACTTTGTTTTTAAATATTCAATGACAAAATCCAATTATAAATATCTTGCATTTGAAGTCATTGCAAGGATATGGGAAAGCCAAGCTTTGAAAGCAAATCCTAAAGAGAGGAAATTTCCAACTGGCTATAGCAAACACCTCCCAGGAAGGAAACTTGCAAATATGAATATTTGGGTGTCATGGCTATGTCTTGGTATACTGAGAAGTACATGATTTCTATACTTTATTGGGATGAGTAAAAAAGAATATTTTTCTTCCGATACTGAACATAGTACACGCATCTACTGCAGACTATGGATCTGGTGTGCCTCATCAGAACAGTTGGGGTGCTCAACACTCTCACTACCACTTTTGCCTTTGGGGAAATGATCAGATGCTCAGACCCTGTCCTCTCTGCCAGGTTGATGTGTTCCAGTATATGTACTCAGGCCTTCGTGGCCATTAGTATGTGAAAATAGGGCTATAGTGAACCAGGTGCAAAAAAGTAGTCAATTTACTCCAGTAATTTTATTTATGTATTTATTCAATCAAAAAACATGTATAGAGAATCTTCTATGTAGAAAGAGTTGGCGTTGGTACAATGTTGTACATGTACTACCACTGAATTGTGCTCTTTATTTTATTTATTTATAATATATTTTCATTGATTTCAGAGAGGAAGGGAGAGGAAGAGAGAGATAGAAACATCAACAATGAGAGAGAATCATTGATCTGCTGCCTCCTGCATGCCACACACTGGGGATCAAGCCCGAAACCCAGGCATGAAGCCCGAAACCCAGGCATGTGCCCTGACCAAGAATCGAACCATGGCCCCCTGATTCATAGGTTGATGCTCAACCCCTGAGCAACACCAGCTGAGCTGAATTGTGCTCTGTAAATGGTTGCTTGCTATGTGAATTTCACCTCAATCAAAACACACACACACACACACACACACACACACACACACACACAACTTATATGTATATATGCAAAGCCCATGGACACAGACAACAGTGAGGCGAAGGCCTGGTTTTGGGTGTGAGCTGGGTGGAGGTGGGCAAAGGGGAGAAATGGAGGACATTTGTAATACTTTCAACAATAATAGTATATTTTTTAAAAGAACCTTCTATATAGAAAGAGATGGTGTTGGTACAACATTGTAAATGCACTCACTACCACTGAATTGTGCTCTTTAAATGATTAATTGTTTGTTATGTGAATTTTGTTTCAATCAAAATACACACACACACTGAAGATGGTACAGACAAGGGCAGGGACCTACTAGGTTTGAGGCACAGGGTTAGGTGCTAGATATAGTGAGATGGGAGAAACAGACACATGTTCTGTCTTTGTGGATCTCTGATCTAGTAAGGAATCAGGCACAGAGATAAATATATATATATATAAATGAACGAGGTAAGTGTGATAGAGATAACAGGGTGCGGGGGAACTTACTTAGAAAGGTGGCCAGGGAAGGTCTGACAATTAGGTGATGAGGATGGAGAATGAGATGGAGCCAGTTATATGAACAGCCAGAGACAAAAGAAGCCAGCCTGGGCAACAGCACTGAAGGGAATGTGGGTCAAGAGAAGGTTGCTGATCATGAACAGGAAGAGAGATGGCTATAGCATGGGGACCATAGGGTGAGAATTGTGGGTGGGTAGGAGGACTGTTGGGAAAGGGATGAGGGAGCGAGGGGTTTCTGTATAAGGAAAAGCATGGAGCCTGTGGTGGTCAGAAGCAGAGGGGATGGGTAACATGGGGCCCTTATTTATCTCACTTTCAGCCAGTTCTAGAAAAGATTTAGATGGCTTATTTGCAACACAGGAGAAGGTTAAAAAATAAATAATTAAAGAATTTGAGGGGAAAGGAAAATCCAGTAAGATTCAGCTGAAAAGAAGTTCTGGCCATAGGTGGGCCACAGGATTGGTTCTGAGCTTTCTAGCTCTCAATGCAAAAAGGGAAATAGAATCAATAGCTTGGGCAGCTGATCAGAGGTAGGATGTGTGAATGGAGCAGAAAGAAAGAGGGTGGAGAGGCCTTCACCCTGCCATGAAGTGGAGAGTAGAAAGTTAAAATAACAGCAAAAAATATACCTGAAACTGTAGAAATGGTTTCCTCATAGGTTCCCAAACTTATCTGCAATGGTATTAAATAAAGATTGTTAATTTCCCTAAAATTTTAAAACTGACTCTAGATTGTCTAAGGCTCTTTTTACTGATGTCTAACAGGAAATTTCTACGTAAGACGACAATGTAGGTAGCAGGGCGAATATTGAAGCAGCCATCCCCACGTGGTGATCAAAGAATGGTCCTCTGTGTGGGAAACTTCTGTTTCTGGATAAAGTCTTTGAAAGTCCACACCTGGAGCAGCACAGGAGGAAGGAGCCAACTGCCAAGTTAGGTCAGCCAAGTCCTCCCCAGACCTCTTCGTGGCTGGCGGATGTGGCGGACATGTCACCTCATTTTCTCTATGGTGTGTGAGTGTGCATGGGGCTTTGAGTGATTGGACAGCCCCAAGCCTCTCTCTCTGGGTGCCCACAGACAACCACAGCTCATCAAGGTGTGACCTGGCCACACCATGTCCTGCTCTCATTTCTGAGAATGTGGCTGAGGCATTCTTAACATAAAGATATTTTACCAAGTTCCCATATCTTTACTAAAAATCTAGCATCACCCTCTTTGTACTACCAGTGGAAAAAAACTGTGAGAAAGAGCAAACACTGAGCCTTTCTATGAATTAAACAGGTCTTGTCTTGGCTCATCCGCAGCTTCTAAATTCCCCTCCATTCGATTCTGTCACCAGGGGGTTTTGCCCATCACTGCCCTCCTTTCCCGTCACTTGTTAATTTGGCAACTACCAGAAACTCCCTTCCCCTGTACTCCCATCCCAAGTCAGAAGCTCTCTGCTTCTGCGTCTGCCTCAAGCCCTGATTCCAGGAGATCAGGGGACTGCCTGAAGTCCAATGGACACTGGTACAGGCAGGGAAAGCGAGAGGTGGCCTCAGCAATCCTCTCTCTCTCTCTCTCTCTCTCTCCCTGTCATTCTGGGATAGAAGAGAAGGAAGAAGGAGGATCAGCAGGAAGGAGAGAGGGTAATTCCTACAGTGTGGGAGGCAAAGTACAATAATAACTACAGTATGGCCTGGATTCAAATATGTCAATTGTTAGCTCTGGAAAATTTTTCTCAAGTCACTTAACTGATGTAAACTTTAACTTCTTCATCTGTTTTTAAAAAGAGGAAGAAGATAATGATTTCTTCCTCATAGTGCTATTGTGAGAATTAAAGGAAATGATATATGTAATGGGTATAAGATGTTCACTGGAAATAGTTTGTTTAATTAATGGTCCCTGGAAAAAATGGGACATCCTTTCCCCCTACACTCTTACCCACCCCTCTGTGACCCTCCAAGCTTCCTCCAGTCTAGCTGGGGGCAGAGCATGAGTATGGGAGAGCAAGAATAGCAGGAAACCCATCCCCACTTCTCTTATCTCCCCACTTCCAGCCCCAGCATCCAGCCCCTCTTCTCAGTCCCCAAACCTGTGAGTTTACCACCCCCTTTACCCCCAGGTCTGTGGAGTCCCATTCCTAGATTCCTCAGGATCCTTCCCCAACCCTGGGCCTTTCCTGGTCCTTGTCACTTGGAGTGCTGAAGTCACAGCTGCTCATGCGTGCAGTGGGTGCCCTGCACAGGCCACACCTCCAGGGCGGCCACCAGTACAGCTGTTTGCAGAACTCCCAGGTGGACATCTAATAATCTCATTTCTCATAGAAATAGCATCATAAGCCCTAGCCGGTTTGGCTCAGTGGATAGAGTGTCAGCCCTCAGACTGACGTGTCCTGGGTCCAATACCTGGGTTGCAGACTCAGTCCCCAGCCCTGGTTGGGGGATGTGCAGGAGGCAAGCAATTGATGTGTCTCTCTCACATCAAAGTTTCTCTCTGTCTCCCCCTCCCTTCCACTCCCTAAAAATCAGTGGAAAAATATCCTTGGGTGAGGATTAACAACAACAACAAAAACAAACCCAAAAAACAAAAAATAGCATTGTGGGTAATGCCTGAGCTCTATGGGGAGGACTGTTGAGGTTTATAAATCAGATCCCTAACTGCCAACAAAACGCTGGTTCTATGAGAAACCAGGCTGAGCACCACATCCTGGTTCTCAGTAAAACACTTCCTCCTTCTATGCTGGGAATGTCCCCAGGATTTTTTTAAACAATTGAGGTGTTTACTTCCTTACAAAGTATTTTCATATCTGTGTCCTCCTCTGACTTTTCCGAGTTTGAAAGTAAATATTACTAAATGCTTTCTTGCCAAGAAGGAAAAGCCCAAGAGAAGAAGCCTAATTTTACATGTCACATAGCTCAAAGTAAAATTACATAACAATTATGAAATAACCTGTTAGTTAACATAATGGTTCTGCTAGAGATCCTGTTTTAGCAACTTCCATAGACAGAAAATACTATAATTTGTCATTTGCTAACTGCACATTGAGATATCAACTTCAACTTCTCAAAGTATCTCTCTTCCCTATCCCTTTCCTCTTTGAGATCAACATGTGGGAAGAATATAAAAGACCATAATTGGCCTCTTTCATAATCTGAGTAAAAAAAACAACACACCCCTCATTGTTGTCTGACCTTGAACACATTGCTCTGTCTGTGCCTCCATTTCCACAATGTGAGATACAAAGGTTAGACTGAATGGGGAGACTGTCTAGAGCAGAGGCATGAACTTTAGACCAGGAGTTGACTAAGGCCCACTGTTTGGTGCTCTTCTGCCTTTCTGCTGTTCTATGAATTTAGGGAAAATCACTTAAGCACTCTGGGCCTCAGTTTCCCCTTTTGCAAAATGAACAGTCTGGATGTGATGATCTTAAATATTCCCTCTCCTCCGACCTTCTATGCAAAGCTGGCGAAGTCACCCAAGAGTCCACCTACCTTTCTAACAAACTGTCGCAGCTGCCACTTTACTTGCCAGCAGGGATCGTTCAAATTCTCATCATTGAAGTCCCAAGAGTTGTCATCTTCCTTTAAGAAGCAAGCAATGCTCGTTTTGAAGTACTTGTCCTGCATCTAGGACGAGATGGAATATAACACAATATTATGTGCAAGTGCTTTTTTGTATTTGTTCATTTAGAAGTAAAACTACAGAAACTGATGAGAGATTCAGAGAATTGGCACCTTGGATAAGCTCATGGCTTGGAATTAAAGTAGGCCTGCTGCCCTTTGTCCTTTGAATAAAAGTAAGCTGTTGGATATGGTGGAAACATCATGGGTGTGGGCCAGGCATCCTGAGTCACAATGCCCTTGACTGGCCCTGCCATCAATTAGTTGTGTGTCCCTCAACAAATGTCTGCTTCTCTTCTGTGTCTGTTCTTCCTCTGAGATTTGAGCTGGTTCACTATGGTGATCTTGAGGTCCTGTTCAGTTCTGACACAGTGTGGATCCTGTTCTAAAGGTGGCAACTCACCTAGATACAAAGTAGGCAGTAGAGTATGTTTAAATGTAAGGATGCTAAATAAAAAGGTAGCCAAATCATTCGGGGGCCAGCTCATGTTCTGTTTCTTGATCCGAGCTTTGGCTGTCTGAGCAGACTCTACTTGTGATTTCTACTCTCCTTGGATGATCAAGTGTGATCCCATTGCCACTAAAAATCTGAATGCTGTCTCATTAAATATCCACACTAGCTAGGGATTTATTAACCTGCAGAGACTTGAAGACTTATTACCTCCTCCTGACTGGGAATAAACATTTAGAGTGCCAGATCATTGTTATCAAGTCTTTGCTTGATGTTATACACAGACGCCCTTACATGCTCGCACGCACACAAGCATGCACATGTTCATGAATCCCTAACCATGCAGAGTACTTGAGGCTGAAACTGATCTTACAAAAACAGGAAACTCACACAAGAATGCATGGTTTTTTGTGGGTTTTTTTTTTGGTTTTGGTTCTTGTTTTCTTATTGCCTGGTTTTATTTTTAACTATTGAGGTTAAAAAGGTTATTTTCCAGTACAATGGCCTTTTTGTTTTTTTCCTGCTACTTGAACTTAAGCACACTCCAGAGCATGAAGGAAGAATCACACTTAAGGATAACCTGCTTATTCCAAATCAAAATGACTGAACTGTCTATGAGAGGTTCCAGCCAGAGTCATGCAGTCCTGTACTCAGCCAAAGTACCCTGTGAACATTTGACCAAGGTCCTTCAAGTGCAAAAACATAAACCTGAGTTAATTCATTCCTCCACACACTCTGGCATAGGGCATTCATTTGCTTTTAAATGTTTATTTTCTTTCTTCCTTCATTTAATCACAAGAGTAAAACATTCTCTGGGCAATGTCGTGGAGGTGACCACTGGGGCCCCCTGAGCTGACAATGGAATTAGACGGTCTTTGCCCCTGCCCACCCTGTACATTTCCATTGTAGACTTCTATTTGCATCTGCAATTTATGTGGAAGCTGAAAAGCCTTTCCAAAGAAGAAACTCAATCGCATGTGATTTGGCCAGGCACTGCTCTGATGAAACTAAAAACAAAACAAACAAACAACAACAACAACAACAAACAGGCTCACAAACGTCTATTAATTTGTTGGGTTAAAAGATGTGTGTGACACAGAAGGGAGAGAGCAATTTTAACTCTTGCTTCCCAGCAGTTGGAAGCTTCAGAGCATGGGAGGCTGGGTCAAGGGCAGAAAGGCTGAGCTGAGAGCTGCTTGGGAGCAGCAAACAATGTTATCTCTAAAAGGAAGTGGAGTTTGAGAGGGCTGGATACGGAGCAGGGGCCAGAAGCAGAGGTCAGCTGCTGACAGTGCCTCTGGACATCCTCTGGAAATTTTTCAGAAAAACTTTGTTTGGGAGGGAGAACCTGAAAAGTGAGGAAGGTCCTAGGTATCTATGGCAGGGAGGTTGACAAGCTAATGTGGCGCTATTGTTACCTCAAATTCAATGAGGCCTAGGGACATTGAGGACACACAGGCACCCTAGGAAATATAGAGAAGTAAGGAACACTTTTCTAAAAGCAAAAACAAACTACAAAGAAAAAAAAAGCCCCACCCAAACCGTCCAACCCCACCTCCTAGTTAAGCTTTTCATGATCTCCTTTTTGTTTACAGGGTTGAGATCAGACTGTGTAGGGGCAGTTTTGTGTAGGGTTGTTTCTCTTAAGACTCTGTAAAAATGACATATTCTTTAAGTCTGTGTGAAAGTGGATATATGGATAGCATAGATATTTTTATAACATTCACTGTAGAAAATTTATAAAATGTAAAAAAATAAAAAGGGAAAAAGCACCGTACCACAATCCTACCATCTAGAGATCACAATAGCCAACATTTTGGTGTTTCTCCTTTTAGATATTTTTATGCATAAACATAGATTTCTGAGAACAGAAACCCAGAAAGAAAACCCCTACCACCTTCCCCATCCCCACGTGTTTCTACAGACCTTGTTCTGCCACCTGGACCCATGGGGAAGGGGGTACTGTAGTATTTTCAAAAATGAGTAATGACACCTCCTTCCCACCTCATGATTTTCAGATCTACATCTCAGGCTTGGACTGACAATTCTCTCTCTTTCCTCTTGCTAATCATATGTGCACTGGGAGCCTGCTCTTCTGTTCCAGAAGCCCTTGGTTCTGTGAAATGGGTTTGCATGACTGCTGCTGGTGGCATTGTCTAGGCAAGGACTAGCCAGTATCCTTGGCAGGGCTTGAGTCAGCAGGGTAGACTCCTTTGCTGGCTCAGAGATTTTGAGGTGGCAGTGCTGACCCTCTCTGCTGCCCAGACATGAGTCTCTGACAATCATTTTCTGTAACCCATCCTGGTCTCTAGTCTCCTCTATAAAATGTGGGTGTTCAAAGTTCCTTCCAACTCACAGTTTTTGATAATATACAATTAGTCAAAATATATATAAGAAGGTAAGAAGCTGAGTTGGTTTATTTTTTTATCAATTTTGCATTTATAGTTCCAAATGTTTTATATAGTTGAGAAATGCACAAATTAAAATGGCACTGTTTTTTGTTGTTTTTTTTTCTCTCTGTCAAATGCACCTGGATTTGTACCTGAACCATCCACAGGCATCGAATGGCAGTTTTATTTTCAATTATTTTAGGATGAGCAGTAAAATGTGAGCTCAGCTTATAACCACTGCATTACAGACTGAGGCAGAATGCTAGTCCTTTATAGTCTCACTATTATCAACACACAAATGCAACAGAAATAAAACCAAAACATCTCTCAGGCAGCGAAAGGAAACATTCACTATAAAGTTTTCAAAGAGGAGAAAGTAGAGAGGCAAAGGAGAGGCAGTTAACCTGAGGGTGCTGACAGCTGCCGTGAGTCCATATGTATTATACTGACCTGCTGCAGCTCACTGGTGAAGTACATGTAAGCCATGGCCACGCAGACACACTGCAGGAACACTGTGAAGGTCAGGATCAGCCAGCACCTCAGCCCAGGACTGGACTTCTCTGGGGCCATTATTGCAGTCATGGTCTGTCCACAACAAACCTCAAAGCAGCAGTAACTTATTCAGGGTTGCACTAGAAATTATACACAGGGTGAGGAAGCCAGGATCGGGGTGGGTGGAGCTCTTCAGGGAAACGAAACTAAAACATGCTGGGGCAGCCCGGCAGGCTTGGCTAAGTGGTTGAGCATTTACCACGATCCAGGAGATCACAATTTGATTCCAGATCAGGGCACATGCCCAGGTTGTGGGCTCCATCCCCAGTGTGGGGTGTCCAGGAGGAAGAAGATTAACGATTCTCTCTCATCATTGATGTTGCTCTCTCTTTCTCTCCCTTTCCCTTCCTCTCTGAAATCAATAAATATATATTTCATAAAATAAAATAAAACAAAACATGCTGGGGCAGCCAGAGGAAACAACAGGGGATATACTTTAAAATATACTTTTAAAGTTGATAGGGAATTTTTTGACTGGAACCTGGATTCTTTGTCTGCCAGAGTCAAAGAATGAATCCATGGACAGAGAATAGTATAGAAAAGGTGGAGATTTATTGAAGAACAAGTACAGACTCCCATGTGGGGAGAGGGAAAGAGTCCCACAGTATGGACTTCCACATGGGGAGGGGTGGGGACGGGGGAAGGGTGCCACTGAGTTCTTTTTCCCTTTGGCTTATAAAGGCTACAGATCCTGGCGCCTTGATATCCCCTCTGATGGATCACTATTCCCTTAGACTGGTTACTATAGTGACTTATGACTCCTAAGGCCCTCCTCCCTCACTGTCCTCCTATTCCCTCTGGGCTTTCTTCCTCCTTCTTTATCCTATACTAGAGGCCTGGTGTACAAAATTCATGCATGGAGAGGAGGGGGTGTCCCTCAGCCCAGCCTTCACCCCCTCCAATCTGGGATATCTCTCTCACAATCTGGGACTGCTGGCTCCCAACCACTCAACTGCCTGCCTGCCTGATTGCCCATAACCGCTTCTGCCTGCCAGCTTGATCACCACCTAACCACTCCCCTGCCAGCTTGATCACCACCTAACCGCTCCCCTGCCAGACTGATCAACACCTAACTGCTCCCCTGCCAGCCTGGTCGCCCCCAACTGCCCCCCTGCAGGCCTGGTTGCCCCTAACTGCCCTCCCCTGCTGACTTGATCACCCACAACTGCCCTCCCCTGCTGGCCATCTTTTGGTGGCCATCTTGTGCCCACTTGGGGGGTAGCCATCTTTTGTGCGAGGGTGTAAAGGTCAATTTGCATATTACCTCTTTGTTATATAGGATAATAAAGTGCTAATATGCAAATTGACCGCCACACCCTCACAAGATGGCTGCCTAGGAGGCGGAGCTTTTGACACTGACTGGCATAGAAACCGACCAATCCGAACCAAATCTGGGTGAACTTCGAGGAGCCAATGGCTACCTAGGAGGCAGAGCTTTTGACGCTGACTGGCATAGAAACCGACCAATAAGAAAGTGGTTCAATTTTTTAATGACCGCTTTGGCAGTATAGTGCATATAGCTGGCTATCAGTCCAGATATAGGGATTATGTGTTTTTGTCTGCCAAGAGCATCTCCTCCTGCTGAAAAAGACTCGGCAGTATAGTGCATATAGCTGGCTATCAGTCCAGATATAGGGATTATGTGTTTTTGTCTGCCAAGAGCATCTCCTCCTGCTGAAAAAGACTCCCCCCTCCCCCACATTTAAGCAATCCTATCCTATATAATCTATCTATACTAATAAAAGAGTAATATGCTAATTAAACTGGATCGACTGGCCATCTTCCGGATGTCTGACTTCCTTCCGGACAAAGCCATGGTGGTGGGGGCTGAGGCAGAGGCAGTTAGGGGTGATCAGGCCAGCAGGGGAGGGCAGTGGGGGCAACCAGGCCAGCAGGGGAGGGCAGTTTGGGGTGATATCAGGCTCAGGCAGGCAGACAGAGAGGTTAGGTGCGATCAGGCAGGCAGGCAGAGGGGTTAGGGGCTATCAGGCAGGCAGGCGGGCAGGCAGGTGAGCAGTTAGGAGCCAGTGGTCCCAGATTGTGAGAGGGATGTCCAACTGCTGGTTTAGGCCAGCCTGCTGCACCAGACCTCGCCACCGGCCTGGCTGCCCGCATCCATGCCACCGAGGTGCTTCTGTATTATGCGCTCCCGTCAACTGGCCCCATCTGCCATCTTCTCCAGAAGTTCAACCAGCAGTCATGCCATTGCGGGAGCCCAGAGCTCAGTCACCCCCTGCCACAGCCACTGCCACAGCCGCCTGTCCTCGGCCCAGGGTCGGTGCAGTGACTTCTTGCAGAAGACCAGCAACAACTCATTCACCATCCACCCTTGGGGCCTGCACCGCGGGTTGGGCATTCGCCCACTCCCCAATGGGCCCCGGCCTCAGAGTTCCTGGCAGGCACTGCCAATGGCATCGTGGGCTCCAGCCTTGGGCTGGGTGAGTACAAGCCAAAGTTGGAGTTGGGGGAGCCTCCCGCCCACCAGCCCCAGGACCCCAGTGCCACTCCAGCCTCGTCCCTGGCTTTGTCCAGTGTCAGCCCTGCCAGTGCCACTCCCAGCCAGCACCACTGGGTCTCCTCGGCCACCAGCACGAACGACTCCTTCAAGATATGGCCGGCCTCCAAGCCAGTTATGAACACGATTCCCAGGGGGACCTGCAGGCCCGGGCTCTGCCCAGTCTCTGTGTGGACTCCCACAACTCCTTCATGTTCATCCCCAAGGGCAAGGCTACCGGGGCCCCTCCGCCCCAAGGGAGGCAGCCTGTGATGCACACTGACCACCAGGGGACAGACGCTCAACGCAGGAGCTTCCCCCTTGT